ATTTGTCTTTTTGAAGCAGGGTCTCCCTGTAGCCCCAGCTGTCCTGGAACTCACTATGTAGACCAGGTTGGCCTTGAACTCACAGAGATCCACCTGCCTCTGCCTCCCAAGTGCTGGGACTACAGGTGTGTGCCACCACGCCCGGCTCTTGACTGTATTTTTAAGTCTTTCATTGAAGTGATTTGGAAGAGTAGCTTCTCAATAGTGAGAAAAGGAAAGGAAAAAAGGGGGTCAGGTCCTTAAAAGTGATGGCCCCTAAGCTTTAATTTTTGTTTAGTTTTGTGTTTATTGGTCCAGTGGAAGCTTCTCAGAAGTATGCTGATAGTTGACAACAGAAAATCCAGTTGTCTTTATTGACCAATCAGGAGCTTAATTTACATGCATATTTTGAAAATCATAAGTGAAATCAGCACAGTCCAGGTCTCTGATTCCTCCCTTGCGGCCATCTTGGTGCCCTCTCTGTCAGTGGTCAGAATGCTTTCTTTGTACAGAGCCAGCTGGTGAACGGCATAGTCTTCGCCACCTTGCATACATCCTCTGCTGAGGCTTCTCTGCTCTACAGCCTGAAGACAGTCACAGAGTCATAGACAGGATGTCGACAGCAGCATGTAGCTGGGTTCCAATCAAACTTTATTTTCTAATGTAGAAATATGAATTTCATGGAATTTTCATCTGTCGTAATGTTTTTTTTATAGTTTGAAAATATAAACCTGTCTGGGGAAACAGCTCTGTCAGTAAACTACTTGAGGACCTAAGTTCTACAGAACCCACATGACAAAGCCAGGCATGGTGGTGCACACTCGGAACACTGGGAAGTAGAGACAGAAGCACTCCTGGGGCTCCCTGCCAAGCCAGCCCAAGCCTGGGTAGCAAATTCTAGGCCAACAAGAAACATTATCTCGAAGACAGCACGGTGGATGGCACCTAAGGAATGACGGGACTGATCTCTGACCTCCACATGCATATACCACATGCATTTGCACTCTTCCACACACAAACATGTATATACACATAGACACACAAAAAGTACATAAAAACAATTTTTAACTCATAGCCACATAAAAATAACTGGTAGACCAGATTTAACCAGTGTAGCACTATGAAACATCATCTATGATATTGCTTCAGGTTCTGGATGATCTAGCAATCAAGTTATATTATTATTAGATCTATAAAAAGCCACTCCTGTCTATGAAGTGAGATTTAAAGCATAGTTCATTTCGTGTTGCTACAACAGATTACCTGAGCACAAGTCATTTATGGAATTTATTTCTCTCAGTCCTGGAGGCTGAAAGTCAGATGGAGCTCTCCACATCTGATGAGGGCCATATCCTGCTGTATCACAGAAATTCTAATTCACTAATGCTATCATGGGGCCCCTCCAGCAAGATCTCTTCTAGACTTAATTTACATGCCCCAAACTCTACCTCCAAATACCATCAACATGTCAATGAAGATTAAGTGTGTACACATGTCTAGATTGTTACAGAAACTTGAAGGAACCGGAGTTACAGGTAGGTTGTGAGCTGCCCAATTTGGGTGCTGGGAACCAAATTTGGGATCTTCTATAAGAACAGCAAGTGCTTTTAACAGCTGAACCATCTTCCCAGTCTCTCAGCCCATGCTTCTGACTACAGCACAAGCTTTAAAATGGTCTAGTTAATTGATGCAAATGTTAAACAGAGACCTGTAGAGATAATGGCTCTTTGTTTCTTCATAGTTACTGATTAGGCACCTACGGTGTGCCCAGCCCAACATGGGTGCTAAGTATATAGCAGTGAATCGCAGACCCCAGTCCTACCATTTGTGGAAGTTTATTTCACTACATTTGAGCCACCCACTGTCATCATCAGTCCTAAGCCAATTCTGTCTGCTAGGTGGTGTCTGAGCTCTTAGGTTGCAGGTATAGATGTTTGGTACATATGTTATTCCAAAACTTCCTGGGCTAAGGATGGAGCTCTGAGGTTGAGTGTTTTTTTAGCTTACACAAGGAGCTGGCTTTAACTCCCAGCACTACAAAAATCAAAACAAAAAAGAAAATAAAATCTAAGCTTTTTCCTAGTGACAATTTTATTTTCAAGTGTTTGTTTGCTTTTCCCTCTTGAACTGTGGGGTCAAAGTTACAGTTTGACACACCATGCTTTCCATCCAGGTGTATGCTCCGAGTCCTGGATTCCTTTGGAACGGAACCTGAGTTCAATCATGCGAGTTATGCACAATCTAAAGGCCACAAGACTCCCTGGGGAAAATGGAATCTGAACCCTCAGCAGTTTTACACCATGTTCCGTGAGTATCCATGTATCATTTCTGCCTTCCAAAAAGCAACCAAAGATGGATGGGGAATTTAATTGAACAGCAGTCTATTTAGGGTTGTGATTCTCAGGACCCTTAGCTGAGAAAGTACATGCTGTTGAGCCTTTTTCCTGGGAATAATTGCATTTTCCCTTTAATTGGAATTGAAAGCCCATGTGAGCATTTTGTGAAGAGCCTTAGAAACGTCTTGGAGAAAAGTGTTCCATAAAAATTATCAGTAAAAGCCACATGGGAAAAGTCTGCAGATTACCTGGATGGGCAGGCACTGAGTATGTCCCTCACCATACCCATGCTTTTGAGGAGCCACTGAATCCTTAATGAGGAATGAGGTCTTCCATGTCAGCTCACTCTCCACACAGTTAAAATATTAATTATTTGACCATGAAGCTTTAAAAAGAAAAAAGGGAAAGATAGCTGGAGAGATAGCTTAGCAGGTACAAAACACTTATTGTATAAAAGTGAGGACCAGAGTTTGGGTCTCCCGGACCCACATAAATGCCAGTAGGAGTGGTGGTTTGTTTGCATTCTCAGCTCTCAAGAGCGGGAGACAGAGGTTTCCCCAGAACAAACTGGCTAGACCTACCCAAATCAGTGAGCTCTTGGTTCAAATGAGATACTGTGCCTCAATATATAGTATAGAGAGTGGTCAAGGAAGATGCCTGATGTCAACATCGTGCCTCCACATGCATAACACACACATACACCCACACACATGCAAACACATATGCATACCACACACAAATACACGAAAGAAAAGTAAAAAATACAGTGTTTTCTAAATTGAAATGATTTTAAACTCAGTTCCCTACTTAATTATTGGACCTAGAATATTTTACCTCCTCTTGCTGACTTGTGTTGTTGGTAGTGTATAGAGCAGTGAGGGCTTTTTCTGTACAGTCAGAGAATTATCTATGATATCTGTCTTTTCAGTTTCAAATGAGTGAGTTTATTGAGCATGTAGCAAACAAAAGCAAAAGAACGAAGAGCAAGTAGCAGAGAGAAGCTCTGATACCCAGCAAAAGGTGGTCAAACCAAACTCCTACAGCATCCAGCAGGTGACTAGAGTAGCCTGCAGAGCAAGCAAAGGGAAGTCAAGTTGGGGCTTACAACAGCCAGCCTTAGACATTAACTCAGGATGGTGCTGCTGAGCTAAAGGTCCCCATTGAGAGTCTTTCCATCAGTGAGCTTCCGGACTCCAGTTTCTACCTCAGGCATTTTTATACCATGGAATAAACAACAGTCACCTTGACTGAAAAGGGTCTCTTTAGCTGTTCTCAAGAGTGTTTTTCACTCTTGGGTTGTTTTCTGTTTTCCTTTCTCCCTGTCACAGTGCCAAGGAGCCAGCCTGTCCCCAGACAAGGGGCTTTGCAGGACACTTGAGACAGACGTTCTTGGGTCTGAAATGAGGGGGATCTACTGTTCTGCTTGAACCAGTTTCTCAGTGAGCTCAACAGTTCATGACAGTTAGCAATATGCTGGATATTACAGAGCCCATGCTGGCTGATGCACTCACTGGCTGTACTGCTAGGCTCTGAGGCCTTTGCCGTTCCATGGTCTTTCCTGCCATCATCATCTCTCATTATTGCCCTCCATTTATTTACCTACCATTCACTTTATTTCTAATTAGCCTAGGACTGTGAAACCAAGCACCAAATTTGACATTTGTACCAGAAGTAAATTTATGATTTAGTCTCACCCTCATGAGGAGGACAAAGTTCTGTTGTAGAAACGAAGGGCTACGTAAGTGACGCTGTTCACTTGCATGCTCAGAGTAGAGCACTCCTATTTCCCAAAATTATCAGTATGATTTTAATCTAGACATTTCCATGCTGAAATGACTTTCTAAGATTTCAGTCTATTTGCTTGGTTGAATTAAGACCCAAGGGATGCCGATAGTACAGCTGCACTTTGCTCTATATGCAGCCACCCAGAGATGGTCCTTTACTTGGGTGCCCTGAATGTCATAGTGAACACATTAAGACTAATCCTCGGGGTGTTAGGTCTGAGAAAGAAGAATTCAGAAGGCTTATACAGCTGGTGAGGGTAGTGACTTTAAAAATCAACTCATATTTATGGACTGGTGATGGCTCAGTCAGTAAATGCTTGTGAAGACCCAAGTTATATGTCTAGAACCCACATAAAAAAGCCAGGCATGGTGGTATACCCTGTAACCTCAGATTGGGAAGGAGGAGATAGATGGATTCCTAAGACTTTCTGGCCGGCCAGCCTAGCTACTTTGTGAGTTCCAGGCCAAAGAGAGACCATATCCAAAAACAAAACGAACAAAAAAACAGGTGGCTAGTGCCTAACTAACAACACCAGAGGTTATCTTCTGGCCTCCACATGCATGTGCATATATATACACATATACATGCACACAAATGAGCATGTACACACAAGGAACTCCTATTTAAGTGTTCTTTTGAGCTCAGAGTTTGGTGAAAGTGTGCTGTGCACGTTAGAAACATTATTGTTTCTGGAACTCTGTTGTCCTGATATATACCCCTGTCCCTGGGGCACAGTTCAGGGAACAAGCTAATATTTGGCACACCAGGTAACAGATGGCTGTCAGTGTGGTGAGGCATTATTAGAGTCTGCCTGGGGTTTGACTTTGCTATGACACTTTGAGACTGGGAAGAAGTGTCAGCCAGTAGACTAAGAAGTGACCTGTGTTAGTAAAAGTGAGATGAAGCTGCTGCTTACACACGTCCTCCAAGTCATGTCAGCAGCCCCATGCCCAGCCCAAGACGAGAGATGTTCCAGCCTTATGGAGCGCTCTCTTGTAGGATGGTGGAATTCGGTGCCCTGCAAGCCTGCTTCATTTTCCATAGATAAAGGCTTTCATGTGTATGAATTCCTTGAACTGAGAGAAGCTAACTGTTTAAAATGTAACAGAGGCCAAAAGTGTAGAGTGCTTTCTCTTAGACTGGGAGAGGGATATGGGTTCTGGATTCAGCAGAAATTGTGGGCTAATTTGACACATTTGAGTGCCTTTTAAGAAAAGAACCTGCATAGCAAAACATTACCAAGCACCTATGACATGGAAGGCAAGCAGTGTAGTAGAAAATGTTTACATGGTTATTTGAGATTGTTACAGGGAAGTATAGGAGTTGTGATATCCCTAGAACTATGTGCAGAATTGAAGATTTCAGGTGAGCTTCAGTTTGGATAGGAAATATTAGCGGACTCATTTTTTTCCATTAAAAAATATATATTGGACTGGGGAGATGACTCACTTGGAAAGTGTTTGCCATGCAAGCACGAGGACCTGAGTTTGATCCCCAGAACCCACGTAAAAAAAAAAAAAAAAAAAAAGCTGAGCATGTTAATGCATGCTGTAATCCCACTGCTGGGAATACAGAGAGTGGTGGATCCCTGGGGCTCCTAGCTAAACCAGTGAACTTGAAGTTGATGAAGACATCCTATCTCAATAAAACAAGGCAGACAGCACTTGAGGCACCTGAAGCATGATATCTGAAAGTAAATCCAGACTGATGTGTAGCCATGAGTATCCTAGCATTCAGACCAGACTTCCCCCAACATCTTTTTCTGTGAAAAGGAACCTCTTCCTAGGATAAATGACAGGTTGCAGAAGTGAAGCAGGGAATATTCAAGAAGGCAAGAGAGCCAGGAAGGACCACATTGGTAATGCCAGGAAGATATAGAATCCCTAAACAGGATCAAAAGAAGACTGACTGAAGTGAATTGAAATCACATAAATGAAAATAGTCAATGGGGCTGGGGATATAGCTCAGTTGGTAGAAGCCTAACCTAGCATACTCAAAGCCTTGGGTTCAATCCCCAGCACCTCATAAAGGGTATGGTGGTATATATCTATAATCCTAGCACTTGGGAAGTGGAGGCAGGAGGATCAGAAGTTCCAAATCATTGACTATATAGCAAGTTCAAGGCAAGTCTGAGATACATGAGACCCTGTCATTAAAAAAAAAGAAATAAAAGAAAAAATGGTCCATGAATCCAGTATGATGCACCAAGCAAGAAAATATAGTCGGTCACCTTTGCAAGTTGTTAAGACACCACCGTATTACTCTGAAAAATAAAGGAGGAAAAACCCAGCTTTGATCTTCCCGCCTTTCTAGCACAAATTATATTTGAAGATAAACAATTGATGGTAAGAAATTGTTAGTCAGGGGGAAAACAGAGCTGGTAAAGGCAGAAGGAATGAAGGATTAGGAAATGAATATCTTGAAACTCTTAATGAGACTGCAGATCCAGTCATCATCAGCTACTACACAATCCGTCAAGTAACAGGTTGATGGAGAACTCTGCATGGATAGTGCTGGAACTAGGGAAATGAGCTGGGAAATGAAGCAGTCTGAAGCATTCATTATGTTCAGATGTGTCAGATCTGGGGACTTGGCAACACAAAATGGTGTCAGCATCCCACAATCCAGACCCTACCCTCTGTGAACTTGGATGTACCCCTGTCAAGAGGATCCAAGAGGGTCCCTCCCACCCCATGTGACAGACCCGCTGGTTTGGGGCAATAGTAGTTATTCTAGTGATCTAAAGTTAAAGACTGTTTTCTTTTATCAGAAAGAGAAAAATGTCAAAAGCCATTTTTTTCCTTTTGATTTTTTTGAGACATAATCTCATGTATCTTAAACTGGACTCGAACTTACTGTGTAGCTGAGTATGACCTTAAACTCCTGATCCTTCTGCTTCAGCCTCCCAAGTGCTGAGATTACAGATGCATACCTTCACAGCTGGTTTACGTGATGCTGGGACTGAACCCAGGGCTCTATACATGCTAGGCAAGCATTCTCCCAACTGAGCTACATCTCTGCACCCCCCCGTTTAAATTTTTTTTTAATTTTTTATGAGTTTACTTGCTGAATTTATATACACAATGTGCATGAAGGTGCATGTGGAGGCCAGGAGAGGGCATCAGATTTCTTGGAACTGGAGTTACAGGCATTTGTGAGCTGAGCTATCCAGTATAGGTGTTGGGA